TTCTCTCATCAGCCTCTTCATTCGCTTGTGTGTCATTTCTGTTTTTATTTTTCGTTCCATTTCACCTATCTTCTGTACCTTGATACTGATGGGGCAGTCCGGTCCTTGGTCTCAGGCTGTCCCAAAGCGACGATGCCAGGCCGTTACGCTCCTGGCTCTTTTGCCCTAAGCTCACCTCTTTCCTGTCGTGCGACGGCACGCCAGAACTACTGCCCGGCCTAACCAAGTTACTCGAGTAAGGCAACGACACCGACTTAACGCGTTCAAGCTTGTACGAGAACGCAGCCGCCTGCTGCTTGTCCTGCGTGCTCTTTTGCAACGTGGACAGCGAGCTTCTCGGCCGTTCGCCGGTCGTTCTCTGCTCCTCGCTGCTCGCCGCTCTGAGCAACGGCTCGTGACCGCTCCGGCCACGCTGCGGCGAATAGCTTAGCGACGGAGATTTCGATGGCACACCGGACGTATCACGAGGGGCCTCCCCATGCTGTTAGTGAAATATCGAAAATAATAATGCGTCAGTGCGGCCGGTATGTGGGCGGGGTGGGTTAACACGATCGTTAGAGATCGGTGCGCGGCCGGGGCAATCGGTGGTGGGAACAATTACACCTTATGGGCTGGTCACTGATCGAGCGCAGATAGGTACAGTAAAACCTCCGTCAACGCTGCTCCTATTCGAAATATCGAATCTGAACTGCCCTTTGATAGTGATATTCACCGCTAATAATATTCTAATTTATAGTGAATTCACGTGGAAATATTCGTACTCGTTCAGTCGATTTTACACGACAGATATTAAATTTAACATTTCATGTGACACGAGAATAGACAAAAATTTAAAAGTGACAACACAAATCCTTCTATTCTTAATCTATAAACAAGATTCTAATTTTACCTAAAAAAAAAAAAGTATCAAATTAATTTGCACACCTACTGAATCAATATATCTTAAGCAAATTCTTAGGAAACACAATGTTACGTTTAAAAAATCTTGACAAGCGTCCTCCTTCCTATCGTCAGAGGGTTAAAATATTCGCGAACGAGTAAAGCCTGCGGACACAGAAGCCTTGCTGTACCTAATTTCATCACTAGCCTATGACTACCTTGTTTATTTACAATTGTCAGTTTCTCTCTCGCGTTATCTAGAAGCATTTGCTCGAGATGGTCGAACAAGGTTTTTGGGCGCCATAACATGTAATTGCGGCGGAGTTAATTCATTATCGTACATGATTGTTAACCACATCTACGCTGTAAATGGGACACGTTCACGAACTGGTCGGTAGCTATTGAAAGTTACCTTCAACTGTTGCAGTCGATGGATCTCATCCCTCGGCTCGGCAATCTCGTTGTCTCTGCCTCTCAACATTTGCATGGTGTCGTTGATAGCGGTGTCGTTCGTTTCCAATACCAAATGCGCTCTCAGCTGCTTGTTCCTCGCGTCCAATTGCATGATGTGTTGTTGCGCTTGAGCGAGCTGCTTGGTGAGAGATCCTACTTTCTCCTCCAAGGCCGCTGACTCCACGCATTTGGAGGAGTACTTCGCTGATAACGAAAGTATTTCCTGCTTGATCTCTTCCATCTCTTCCCTGGAAATTAATGAATATTATTCGACGATTAAGGATATAAGATAGAAACATAGACATGTAAGATACAATAAGATTAGATACAAGTAGATTTCCATGTATTTGTAGAAAATTTAAAGATGCAGAGCACAATGTGTAAAAATGTACAAAATATCAAAAATAGTATACCTGTGATACTAATAGCGAGAAAAGTTTCCAACTAATCTCTGTTTCTTTAAATTGCATAAAAATAGGAAATTGCACAGAAATTTGGAGTCCAGTCGTAATTTATGCAATATTCGTGATTGAAAAATATGATAGAAACCTCGATAGAAAATTTTTCTACGTACCAAATATTATTGAAATATTTTACATCTTCTTTCTTTATTTAAACGTACAGAATATCCAAGATAAATCCTTGTTAATAGCTTTCGAGGAGCGAATCTCTATAAAAGTCCGTAGCTTAATCGCAAAGATTAATTACATACTCGTGTTCCTTGTGAAGCACTCCGATGTCCTCGCGTGCCTGCATCTGTTTGATAAATTCCTGCTTGAACTTAGCTATTTCCTTCTGCACCTCGTGCTCGTGCGCCTTCCTCATAGCATCAAGAGCCGCCAGAGTGGCCTGGGTCTCTTCCGACAACGCCTGTTCCTTCTCCACCCTTAGATTCTCCAGTTCTTGCCTATGTTTCTCTTCCATCTCAGATATAATTCGCCTATGAGAATTCTCCATAGCCAGCAGACCTTTCTCGCACAACGCTCGAAGCTGTTTGATCTCCTCCTTGTATCTTTTCCTCGTTTCCGCGTCTGTGTCCAATTCAGCGCTCATGGATCGTTGATAAGCGGCCCTAAGCTCGTTCACGTGAGCGGAGTGCTCCGAGTCCATGGCGTTCAGCCTCTGCTCCAATTTTCTCGCTTTCTCTCGCAGACTGGCTGCTTCCTGCTCATACTGAGAGGTCAGAGATTGCCTCTGATTGTCCAGTTCACCTTTGATGTCCATCAAGTCTCTCTCCTGGTTGCGTTTCAGCGTCTCCAGTTCCTGATTATGCTCGGCGGTTATCCTCTCGATGTTCTCCTGCAGTTGGTCACACTGTTTGCAAGTCACGCTGTTCATGTAGTCGCTTAGTTTCTTAATCTGTTCGCGCAGCTGCGAGCATTTCTCACAGACGCTCGACCAGTCGGTGATGGTGGCCGTCGCCGATTTTACAGGCCACAGGATATTCTCGTTGCTCTCGTTCAATCTGTCTCGAACGCGTTTGCCCAACTCGACCAGGTCTTCCTCTAGATACAGCAAACTCTGGCCGACGTTCTTCATCTGATCCTTCGAGGCGCGCTTCGAACCGGATATCCTGTCCTCGCAGTCCTTACTGAATTGCTGATAAAGGTAACTGTACTCCGCGTCGAGAATCGGATTGCTTTGGAACTCGTCTGCTTCCAACAGACTCGAAAGAACGTCGTCGTTACGGATTAGACTAGATACGAATGTCTCCCCAGGGAAGGTGGCCAGTTGTCTCATGTTCTCCTGAAGAAGCCCGATTCTCGCGTCTATTAAAGCTTTGTGCGCAATCACGTCCGCGTAGTCGGTCAACAGCTGACGGGACTCGTACTTCGACTCGACTATCGTCGATTTGTTCTTCTTCAGCTGACGAAGGCATTCCTCGTACACGTCGGACAATTCGCGCGTGGACAGTTCTACCTCTTGACGGAGTCTAGTCTGCGCGGCATCGATCCAAGACTCCAACGTCACGTTCTCCGCGCTCTCGAAGTTGAGACACGCGTCGGTGACGCTCGTGATGCTCTGCTCGTACATCTGACCGCAACGCATAATCACGTGAGATACTTCCGCTTGTACCAACTCCTTGCTGACGGTCTCTTGGGCCAGTGCCCATGCTTCGCGAATTCGTCGATCTTCCAGTAACTTTTTACTCGAGTTGGTCCCCTGTTGCTTGTTCTTGTCCTCCTGCTCGGACATGCTTAATGTCTCGCCGGCCAGAGCCTCCGCGAGCTGTCTCAACTTCGTCTCTTTGTACCGGCGTACAATTTCGTTCACCTCGCGTTGCTTTTGCAGAAGGAAGTTCAAACTCTCGCTACGAGCTGCGGACACCTCCTTGCTCAACGTCTCGGTCGTGGCCACGCCACCTACTAGCACTAACTTATTCGCTAACACTCTAGTAAGATACTGAATGTAACTGGTGTTTTGGTACGTTTTGGGCTTAGTTCCGTGAACCTTACGCATTAAGCTTGAGGCAAGCTGACTAGTTTCGACCAATTCACTGAGAACGGCACTCCGGTCGAATGTCCGGCCGATTGCGCACTTGATCTGCCTGAGAATGACGAACTCGAACGCCACTCTCTCCGCGATCAGCTTCGCTTTCTCCCTATCGTCCAGTTGGCCGTTCTGCTCGAGCGTCTGCCGTCTCTTCGTGAGTTCGCTCAGCTTATCTTTAAGTATAGTCTCTAGTCTAGATACCACTACTCCTACTGACTCGGTCACTTGAGCGCTAGCTTGGTTTTTCTTACATTCTAAACACGAGTCCAGGATATCGTTCACCTCGCGCAAACACTTCTCCGCCTTGTCCTCCGCTTGGGTCGAGCCCAGGCACTTCTCCAGCCTCCTCTTCGACTTCGACACCACCCTCTCCAATTTCCTCAATCTGGCGATGATCTCCAGCGATACTTCGCTGGTGGAGGACGCGCTGATCTCGCTACACTCGCTGGAGTCTTTCTCGGCGTCGCTTGCCATGTTCTCTGTCACGTTCGCAACTTTTGTCTCCAGAGTGCTGAGCCTGATCAATACTTTCATTGGCTCGGAACTAGTTGCACTGTCCAGCGACTTTCTTCTTAGTCTGGTGCGATCTAGACTTTTGCCGTCTCTCCTCTTCTCCTTCTTTGGATTAGGACTCGACTCCTTCGAGCTGCTTCCGGTCGATAGCGGCGTGCTGGTACTTTTCCCACGTTCTATAGCGCAGATCTTGTTCTCCAGATCTAGCAGCTTGTCTTCCATCTCCTGGGAGATCTGGAATGACTCGCGCCCCTTCAGTGACAGCGATCTCCTCTTGTCTCTGGTTTCAACTTTAGTCAACTTCTGCTTTAACGTCCTCACTTGTTTCTCGCTGGCCGCAAGCTTGTTCGTCAAATCTTGGATCCTGGCCGCCATTAATTGAATCTGGGCCTGGTTTGTCTCGCTCACGCTCGTTGCGTCTTGTTTGTGGGCGAAGATCTCTAATTCCAGTGCATCCTGCATCGCGTGTGCTTCGCGGAGTTCTTTGCGCATCGCGCGTATTTCCAGGATGGCTTTCTCGAAGCGACTTCTAAGTTCGTCATACTCTTCTACGATTCTGTAAATAAAAAGAGAGATGTGTCGTTGCACGTAAATTATTTTGAAATGTTCATAAATAATTATCATAGTGGTGGTTTAAATATATTTTCGTTACCTTTCTTTATCGAGAGTGTTCAAATCCAGATCCAATTCAATGTTTGTTAAGTCACTGAGAGAATCGAAGCTTCTGCCACGCTCCCTTGAAGAAGACAATCCCCCTTTGTCTTCCAATTCTCTGACCTTGCTATATAAACGCTCGTTTTCGTCTATTCCTAGGTAATAGTATAATAAATGTATAAACAGTACAACAATAATGTTATAAATACAGGGTGAGTAGCATAATTTGTCCATCTCAAATATTTTCAACAAAAGAGTATTTAAAAGAAACTATAATGCTGGAATAATTTTTTTAAATATCTTGTTTAGAAGATATTGAGGTGAAATTTAAGACAATCAATCAGTCAGTCTTTTTGTAAAAAAATATTAAGCTTGATTTCAAGTCTTGAAATCAATTATTAACAAAATATTTCTAAAACTTGGTTCATGGTCTCGAAATATAGCTCTTTCCTATATCGTGTATCTTTTGTATAAAACATTTCTTTACAATACACATACGTTCGAACTAATTTCAGGTGAACAAGTTATACGACTCACACTGTATAATTTCATTTTGAATTTAACAAACCTTGAGACAATCTATTACTCAATGAAGCTATCTCCGACTGTAGATGTTCAACAGTTCTATGACTCGATGCCAACTCCTTGGTGAGCATTTCGCAGCGTTCGCTGGTCTCCCTAAGGATAGCCTCCGTCTCCAACAACTTGCACTCCAGCACCTCTTTGTCTCTGTTGTATATCTTCTTCATCTTTTCCAAATCGTCCAAATCTTTGTTCCTCTGTTGCTCCGTTCTCTGGATCGTACTCAACAATTCATCCACCTGTTTCTCCCTGATGGAAGCTTCGGCCTTCTGCTGCCTCAACCTGGACAATTCTTTCTCGACGCTCGCAACGTCCGCTCTCGCTGTGTTCAACTGCGACTTCAAGCTCTCTATTTCGTTCTCTTGACGCTCGATAATGACTAGTAGCGTGCTTGGATGCGATTGATTCTGATCCAGTTGGTCACGAAGCATCGAGACCTGGTTCTCCAACAGTTCCACGATCAAGGGACTCTCGTTGGCGCTCGACAGGCAGCTGTTGCTCTGCATGTGTCCATTGCGTTGCTCCTCGTCTTCCCCGAGTTCGCAGCAAGCCATCATTAGATCCTCCGATCTCACGCTGTCCAAAGTGCTTCTTCTTGAGCTTAGAGGCGAGCTACAGCTTCTCTTGTATACTCGAGACCTGGAGCTTGACCTGGACCGAGCTTTCACTCGAGACAGGGCTGTCCTAGTTAACGGCGGTGACGGGGGCAGTTCTGACCATTCGTGGTTCGCTGAGTCCGACCAACTGGATCCTTTCAGTCCAGTGGACCAGTCGCCGTTTCTAACGAGAGGCGGTGATACCGGTACTTCTGACCAGTCGCCAGATTCTCTTCTGCCACCCTCTGACGCTGTTCGATATTCCTCGTCCGATGAGAAGAGAACTGAGCGTGGTGTGACCGAGGTCGAGGGGACCACAGAGTCTCTCTCGCGGTCTGTGATGGATCTAAAATTGAAAATGAAGTTCGAATACACTTGAAAGTGTAAGTGTAGAAAAATTTTCTGAGCATCGTTTATTATTTTTATAAACCCTTTATTATTTTCATTCTACTATTATAGCCATTTAGTTATTTATCGATATAATAAGTATTGTATCATTAATTCTAAATTTATTAGAATACCAAGAGATCAAAATTCATACAGACCAATTTTATAAATTCGAGCCATTTAATTTTAATTTTAATAAATTACTTAAGATTATTATTTAAAAAATTATTATATTTACGAAATTAGGAGCCCAAGTGACGAATTAATTAATTCGTTAGACCAATTTCAAAACGGCGTAAAATTAGTAATTTACATTTAAATAAATTGGTATCTTCGTAACGACGATGTATCGATGAAATACAGCGACGAATCAACAAGTATACAATGTAAAATATTCACGCATGGATACGTAACTTTCAAGTCACACCATGTCACAGGAGGATTAAGAAAGTCACGATCAATCTCATCTCGCTTCACTTACGCGGTAGGTGATTGCGGCGTGTTATCTTGCTGACCATCCTGACAAACGGTCAGAGAATCGTTGCTACTGTCAGGATCCGGTAAATTGGCAGCCCTCCGAATGGCCGACATCCAACTGGCTCGTATACCAGCAGTCACCGCAGACAACACGGTAGATCCTCGATCGTCCCAGGCCTTGAAAAATATGAAAAAAGAAAAGGAAAAGGTCGAGCAACACGATAGAAAGTTACAGAAACGCGTTATGGTGTATGTGGGCCAAGAAGCGGGATACAACGGATGACAGAGATCAGTGACACGAATAAACGAAGAGTTCCAAGACCTGCTCTAGCGTGAAATTGAGTTAGCGACTTTTTCCAGCCACTCCCAGCCAGGAAGTCAATTCCGGCAATCCAATTGACTAGCGAGCCCTCGGGAGATTCATGGCTAACTATAGTCCTTGCCAGAGAGATTCTCCGACGTTGGTTTATGTCTTTATTGAAGCAACAACAAGGAACTCTGTGTCAACCGTGGTGAAACAAGAAAGACATAGTTCGCCGATTTCGATGATTTTCGAATATGTTATAGAGATTATCATTCGAAATAATTTTGATTGTACACGCAACTTTAGCTATATAGTTTCTCAGATATTTATATAAAATCCCTGAAATCACTATAGAATATAAAAATGAAGCAACAGGTGTAAACGTGAAGTCCAACCATTATTATTAACACGATCAGAAGTTAACTTGTGAAAATTTGTATAGTTTAACAAGTACCGATGCAAACAAAAAATATTGCAACATGGTTGACAATTATTGACTCACCTTCGTACGTCTTAGGAACATTATAATGTTATTAATTGAGAAAAGATAATTCCAAGATACGAGATAATAAGATATCATAATTCACAATAAAAATGTTGTCACTTATATATCGTGAAAAAGTAAATGACAAACTTTCTTTCTATTAATTATTATTTACTTCGTTCCTGGCAAAGAAATCCTGACAGAAAATATACCTGATGAGAAACTAGAGCCAACGTACCACGTTTCGACAGTGGCAAAGAATATTATATTACAGTCAGATCTAAAAACCGGATTGAAATCGAGTTGATCCTCGAACCCTCTCGGCGCAAAATGCTTCTGAAATTCTTTCGAGGCGATAACAAGTCCCAGGTTGTTATTTCAGTGAGAAATTCGCCTATTTGCAGGCGAAGCTGCAAATAGTTTCAACACGGACTCATCGGATAAACGATACATCATGCAACATCCCAAAAGAATTACGGCTGCCGGCAAGGTGAGCTCTAACTGGATTTCCGCTCGCTTGCCGATTCGTTCGTTCGTGCGGAATGTTAATTACCGTAAATCACACCGCGTGCAAATCAGCGCCGGTCGCACTCACCACAGTCTGGAATCCATAATTTCTTGCGACTTGAAGGGGCGTGACGGCAGTAACGGTATTCAGATCTATGACACCGTCCATGATACCCTTATCTTCGGCGCAGGGATCGCGGTAGTACATGAGGCCGCAGCCGCGCAGCACGAACCAATGCTTGTTCCATTCCTGAAGAATACAACCATTCGTTCGGTATATATTGATCTTCGTCCGTGCCACTGTTGAAATTACACGAACGCTTGTGAGGAATTTGTCGCGTTTGCGCACCTACCTTGTTCAATCCCTGTTTCATTAGCCAGCCTTTCTTTATGTTTAATAAATCCTCGGCGGGCAGGTCGACCCTCAGCTCGGAGGTAGGAGAGTATCTTATCCCCGAGATGTCCAGGCCGCATCCGTCTGGATCGCCTCTGATCTGTACAGCGTCAAGTAAATAATTTTTATTATCTCTTTCTTCTTATTCATTTCTCATTACTTTCACTGATACATTCTAAAGCCGCGTTTATGTTAGATGCCTACAGAAATTTAATTTAAATATTTTAAAACACAAGTATAATGTGTTTAAATATTAACGCGATTATAATTTTTAATATTATAATTATAATTATAATATACTTTAATTTTTATTTTTATACTCTATATTATGGAATACTTTTAAAGGATCTCTTTTC